AAGAAACCTATTGTTCTTTTTACCTTAATTTCCTGGAGCACTTTCATAAGATATGCTATGAGTAAATGCTGATTACATTATATCTATGGTGATACTGTGTTCAAGCCTACATGTAAAACCTGGAAGTTTAAAGAAGTATGCAAGACTCAGATACCTGTGATGTAGCAACCATGAGGCAAACATAATTCTCACATGATCTCATCTGAGATTTTGAGAGTTTTCACATCTATTTGTAAATTTGAACACATAAGACAAGAACTCAAGTTGCTAACTTCAGAACCAAAAACAGATATAGAGAAATATGCATAGCATTCTGGTACCCTATCAAAGCAAAAACATCATAATAAAAAATGAAATTTCCCACAAAAATAAATGCCACAATCAGTTAGAAAGGTGCTTGGTCTCCAAAACGTTTCAGTAACTGATGCTTTACTCATAAATGAGGCTACACTATGTTGCTTTGTTTTTATGTACTCTTGGTTCCATTTTGCAAACCATTCAATCCACTAAGTAATTTGTCCTGAAAATTAAGTTGAATAAATACTGATTAATTAATTATTAGTAAAGATTTAAGCAATGATTAATGTGTTAATTTGACCTATATTATTACATAATAGATGTCAGTTAGGGGTATATACCATTAAAACAGCTTTCAAATGCATTTTAATTATATGCAAAATTTTGTTGCATCCCAGAAATTACATGAAACATGTATAGCACATGTACTTTTTTTGTTTTATAAGTGTAATGTGATTTACAACTGCTTTAATCTTGTGGGTTAGCTTAAAGGACCCCAACACCTCAGTGCACCAACTGGTACCCATCAGCCTTTAGTGTGAAGCCTGAGGGTGCGTCTGCAGGTGGTTTGAGAGGGTGCTTAGCCTGGCTAGACAGATTTTGGTGTGTGCTTAGTAAGACACTATATTACTAGCCTTACTTTTGTCTTCCTTTAACTTTTTATACATGTTCATACTGTTTTACAGCTACTACTGTGGATGGTAGGTATATGTTCAGAAAGAGGTAACTGAGGATGAGGGTCACAGGAAGACTGTTACGTCAATGCCATGTGATCGCTGTGTAACTCTTTATTGCTGTAAGTGAAAGATACAATGTCCTGCGACAGGGGGAGAGGATACTCCTTACCACTATTCAATTACACAGGACTAAAGGGAATCTCCAGGGTCGGGCAGCCATTTGCCGCTGACAGCACACATTGGATTCACACTGCTCCACAGCTCTGTCATTGGATCAAGGTGTAGCAGGTATTACATACTGGATTCACACTGCTCCACAGCTTTGTCACTGGATCAGGTTGAAGCAGGTATCACATACTGGAATCACTCTGCTCCACAGCTCTGCCACTGGATTAGGGTGCAGCAGGTATCACATACTGGATTCACACTGCTCCACAGCTCTGTCAATGGATCAGGGTGCAGCAGGTACCACATACTGGATTCACTCTCCTCCACAGCTCTGCCACTGGATCAGGGTGCAGCAGGTATCACATACTGGATTCACTCTGCTCCACAGCTTTGTCACTGAATCAGGGTGCAGCAGGTATCACATACTGGATTCACTCTGCTCCACAGCTCTGTCACTGGATCAGGGTGCAGCAGGTATCACATACTGGATTCACTCTGCTCCACAGCTCTGTCACTGGATCGGGGTGCAGCAGGTATCACATACTGGATTTACTCTGCTCCACAGCTTTGTCACTGGATCAGGGTGCAGCAGGTATCACATACTTGATTCACTCTGCTCCACAGCTCTGTCACTGGATCAGGGTGCAGCGGGTATCATGTACTGGATTCACTCTGCTCCACAGCTTTGTCACTGGATCAGGGTGCAGCTGGCAGCTCACACTGGAGTCACTGTGCTCCACAGCTCTGTCACTGGATCAAGGTGTAGCAGGTATCACATACTGGATTCACCCTGCTCCACAGCTCTTCCACTGGATCAAGGTGTAGCAGGTATCACATACTGGATTCACTCTGCTCCACAGCTCTGCCACTGGATCAGGGTGCAGCAGGTATCACATACTGAATTCAGTCTGCTCCACAGCTCTGTCGCTGGATCACGGTGCAGCAGGTATCACATACTGGATTCACTCTGCTCCACAGCTCTGTCACCAGATCAGGGTGCAGCAGGTATCACATACTGGATTCACTCTGCTCCACAGCTCTGTCACTGGATCCAGGTGCAGCAGGTATTGCATACCAGATTCACTCTGCTCCACAGCTCTGTCACCGGATAAGGGTGTAGCAGGTATCACATACTTGATTCACTCTGCTCCACAGCTCTGTCACCGGATCAGGGTGAAACAGGTATCACAAACTGGATTCACTCTGCTCCACAGCTCCGTCACTGGATTCAGGTGCAGCAGGTATCACATACTGGATTCAGTCTGCTCCACAGCTTTGTCACTGGATCAAGGTGCAGCTGGCAGCTCACACTGGAGTCACTGTGCTCCACAGCTCTGTCACTGGATCAAGGTGTAGCCAGGGCCGGACTGGCCCACCGGGATACCGGGAAATTTCCCGGTGGGCCGCGGCACCTGGGGCCGGTCTGACAGCCCTAATCATTGGGCTGACAGCTCCGGCAGCACAGAGCCCCATGGGAGCCAGGGGGAGCCGGCCGGCACAGCTCACACATGGCCGGCCGGGATCATAAAAAAAATAATAAAAAAATTTGCGACGGGGGCGGAGCTTAATGCGACGGGGGCGGGGCTTAGCGTGCGGCGGGGGCGGGGCTTACCTGCGGCAGGGCCCGGCTGACTGCAACATGGGAAGCAGGAAGGAGTCCCTGCTTCCCCAACAACCAGCCTGCAGGAGCAACAAACAGGAGTTAAGAAGGAGGTCAGTGTGTGAGTGTGTGACTGTCTGTGAGTGTGTGA